GTCTCCGAATATTTGGCATGTTCACCGTTTAATTGCTGCCGCTGTTAGCCACACTTAACCTCTGGAGTCGGCTCTAGGTTCAGCCTCAGCTTGCCACTTGGTTTCTGTTTCGAGCTGTACAGCGTCCTATGCTCACACGTGAGTCGTCACCGTGTAACGGCAGATTGCAAGTTCAAGCGTTCTGCTTGGCGGCGCCAGTGCGACGCCGCACGGCATCTTTGTAGCAGGTGAGTTCATCGGCGTATCAGTTTTATATCCGCTTAGTACCCTCAGGAGCTCGTCTGCGTCCGCAAAGGCAAGTTTCAGGAGGGGAAAAAACACAGACACAATTCATCGTCGATTCTCTAGAAAATATATGGGAAAATATGGGGAGTGTGGGGGGAAGACAAGAAGCCCGAACATCTGGGAAAATATGGAGGTGTCCATTTCTTTTTGTGTCCCAGGGCCCCTTCACACGAGTAGATCTGTCGACAACTCCAGAACCGGTCGGGCGGCGTTGCCTCCCGTGGTCTGCCGTGTCGGGTGGGCGACGTTGTCTTTTGTGGCGTCTCCCGCTGCCTCCCGCTGTTTCCTCTGCCCTCCCGTCGTATACTTGGCATCGTTCGGACGTGTGCATTTTTTCTCGGCGAGAACCATCAAGGAGGATCCTAAATCATCTGGCAAAAAGTACACGCACGAAATCGAAAAAGGCATAGGGAATTGACGTCCGAGCGATGGCGAGCATACGCATTCGCATGTTCGTATTAAGATTTGAGTCGGTTTCCATATCTGGGCTAGTCTTCGCCGCAGCATTCGCGTGAGCACCCGCACTGGTACTTGCATGAGCATGGGATGCATTATCAGTTCGCGGATTCGGAGAAGTGGTTGCACCAATCTAGGACTAGCAATATTGGTAATAGTCGCATTCGCACTACTAGTGCTACTGTTTGTATCAGTATCATGAGCAAGGCACATCCATGCTAATAGTATTGTTCGTACTATTGATATTAGAGGTCGCAGTAGTGATAATGCAATCATCATTGCTACTGGTAGTAGTAGCATTCGCAGTAGTCAGTTTATTCAGTCTCGTTATGATCATCAGCCCTGCACGTATCCCTATACTCATCGCGATTCCCACATCGTGGTCCCCGCACCGTGGCCCCCTAGCGTGACCCCCCTTATCGTGGCCCCAATCGAAGTCCTAGACGCTTCGCGTAACCCCACCAGCATTTCGTCCCTGGCATGTGCATACGCCACTGCGGCCAATTTACATCGTACCGCGCCCCGGACGTTGTGCCCGCTCCTTGTCCCTCGCCTTGGAGCCGCGAACCAAAAAAAGTAACCCCACCAGCCCCTCCAGCGACGATGCCCAGAGGATCTGCCTCGATCAGGGAAGTGGGCAGCACGCAGATGCAGGGCCCCTCTTGGAGCGCTCTAAGGGCACTCTTGGGCGCTCTTGGGTCCGCCTTGGGGCTCTCCTGGGCCTCTCGCCCGCCGTGGTGGCCTCTCGGCGGTTCCAGAGGCCTCTGGAAGCGTCTCGGGGAGCCTCTCGGGGCCTCTTGGGGGTCTTTTGGGAGCCTCTTGGAGGCCTCTTGGGCGCCTCTTGGGGCCTCCTGGGCGCGCACCTTGCGGCCCTCTTGAGGCGCTCTTTGGAGCCTTGGGAGCGCTCTTGGGGCCATCTCGGAGGACATCGATCACACAATATGGGAGCATTAATTAGCGTTGCCCCTCGGGAGCCCCAGAAGTCGTCTCTTGGGCCGCTTTTGGAGCACGCTTGGGCGCTCTTGGGGACGTCTTGTGGCTATCTTGAGCCTCTCTTGGGCTGGGACCCTCTTGGCCCATCTTGGATCCATCTTGAGGCCTCAGATGACCATCGGAAGCGAAAAGGCGAGAAAACAAACTACATCGATGTTCCAAAGGTGTTGGAAGGATGTTGTCCTCTTCGGGGCCTCCTGGGGGAGCTCTTTGGCCACTTGGAGCCGTCTTGGAGCGGTCTTGGGGCCTCTTGGAGCATCTTGGGCGCCATCTTGAGGCATCTTGGGATATCTCGAGCCATCTTGGAGGTCATATTGGACCTTCCCAGGCGCTCTTGGAGCCATCTTGGTCAGTGCCCCCCCCCGAGGCCAAAATGTGGCTTAAACTCTAGTAGAATGAGTGATTTTGGTATTCTCGCCGAGGCGTCTTGGGTGCCTCTTGGGGGCCTCTTGGGGCCTCTCGGGGGTCTCTTGGGAGCCTTTTGGGGGCATCCTGGGGGCCTCTTGGGGGCCTCTTGGGGCCTTCTGGACACCTCTTGCGGCTCTCTTGGAGCGCCATTGGGAGCCTTGGGGACCATCTCCCGGCCATCTTGGAGGACAGCGATCAAACAGGAGGCGAGTTTTATTTAGTGGTGCCCCCAGGGGGCCAAGCCAACATGGGACCAAAACCGTAGTAAAGTCCACTGAGTTTGGCTTCCTCGCCGAGGCCGTTTTGGACGCTCTGACACCTCGCGACTGGCCCTGTCCAGGTCCAGGGGAGGGGGTAGGGGGAGGTGTAAACCCGTCTCCGAAGGGGAAGAGGGGCAGATGGAAGACAAAACACGTTAAACCACCTACGCCTGAAAGAGCTGGTTGGATTGTGCAAAGCTCTTCATGGCCGTCTGCCGCAAGGGTGCCATCCATGGCCTCTCACCTCAGCTTCGCATGCTGTAGTTAGCGTCAACTGGCTGCATCGTTACAAACATCACCACTAACGAGTTACGGCAGAATCTGCGTCGAGCTTATCACCGTCATCATTATTGCGTTTAGATCGAATCGAAGAAATTTGGTTCATGCCAATTGGATTCAAGCCTCGGTTGAAGAGAAGAGCCGAGTGGGGAGCGCATTTCGCCAGGACCATGCTGCGCCAATCGTTCGTTGCGGCGGTGGCCTTGGCGCCCGGCGTGGCCGGTACATCCGGACGACGCCGTTATTACGAGTTGGCTTACCCAGATGAGGTCCAAGCAGCAGACGGCGAGTACACGCTCGAGATGGGAGAGGGCCTGCTTCTTCCCAATCTCGGGGAACAAACAATGACACAAACCTACACTTCGGAGGTCCGAGGGGATTTCTTGGATCGGCGTTGGGGAACCCCTTCCTGGCGCGCAGAGCTTGGGGCGGCGCGAGAGGGATTCTTCACCGATCGAAGAAGTCCGCGCGGACCTCCGGAAGTGTAGGTTCTTGCCATTGTTTGTTCCTCGGCAATCTGCTGACGCGCGTGTACGTCAACGGGCCGACGTTCCGAATGAAGCCGGGCGAGTCTCTCCTCATCAAGCTACAAAACAGTTTGTCCGCCGAGAACAATGTCGGATGCGACGTCACAGGGACAGAGTATTGCGAGGCGGCCACCACCAACCTTCACACGCACGGCTTGCACACTTCCCCCGCGGGCCCGGACGAGCTTGGCGTTTCCGGCGACGACGTGTCCCTGGCGGTGGAGCCTGGCGCAAGCCAGCAGTACGGGTTCACCATTCGGAAGAGCCAAAACGGCATGGACCTGAATTTTTGGATTTCCGCGCGGATATCTTGGGTCGGCGTTGGGCCCCCCTTCCCACACCGTTCCCCCCGTTGCGCAGAGCGCGGTGGGGGCGGCGCCAGAGTAGTCGCCCACGGGTGTTGGGGAGGTGGCCCAGTGCCGACTCGAGGAATCCGCGCGGAACCCGAAAGTCTGAACCGATGTCGTGTTCTGTTCTTCTGCCCATCCCGGATAACCACATGGGCGGCACGCACTGGTACCACCCTCACCACCACCACGCCACCGCCCTTCAGGCGGGTGGCGGAGCCGCTGGTGCGCTCATCGTCGACGACCCTCCTGGCTACCTGCCCGAGGTGTACGCCAGCATGGTCGAGAAAATCCTCGTCATATCTCGAAGGCCGAGAAGCGACGCAGGCAGAGACTTTCGGAGGCGCGCGCGGACTTTCGGGCCAGACGAAAGGGGGGATTAGGAAAGGGGGGTTTACGAAATTTGCTGCATGCAGCTGGCTTCGGCCCCATCGAGGGGCCCATTCCTCGATACATAGCCGCCTCTGGCGACGGGAAGCGCCGGGAAAATCAGATTCTCCCCCCCCCCCCCTTGCTATTTCCCCTTTCGCCCGGCCGGAGACTTCTTGGGACCGCGCTTGCGCCCCCCCCCTCCCGCCGCTCCTGGGCGGCGACTTCGGCGCCGCCCCTGGCGCGCTCGGCGCGACGAGGGGGTCCGGAGGGGGATTCGGGGCCGACCCAGGAAGTCCGCCCACGACCACCGAGAGTGGACGTTCGTGCCGCTTCTGGTCCTTCTGGGCATCGAACCACAACCTGGCCGCGCTCGAGAACATCGCCCAGATGGCGCAGTCCGGTCTGCTGGAAAACGCGACTGCAATCGCGGCGGCCGGTGGGTACGCCGAAAACATCTTTCTCGTGAACGGCCAGCTCGCTGCGACCATGAGCATCAATTCCCACGTGTGGTACCGCCTGCGCATCGTCTTTGCGGCGGTGCAGCAGGGCCTCAGGCTGCACGTGGACCCGAGAGAAAACGGGTTGGCCAACTGCTCGTGGTACTTGATCGCAAAGGACGGCGTCTACCTCAACGAGATCCCGAGGGCGATCGTCACCGCCGACCTCGTTCCTGGGGCCCGCGCGGACATCGCCATGTCCTGCACCTGTGAGACGTACCCCTGCAGAGCGGTTCTGAGGTCCCAGCCGTTCCCCACAGATCAGAATTTCCGCAGGATGTCAGGCGCCCAGACGACCACCGATGAGCCCGCGGGACCCGCGACCACCGCCGAACCCGGCGCGGATGGCCAGACCGACGACGCTCCCACAGGCGATCCGAGGGACAAAAGATTGCATAAACGCAATCAGCCAGAGTTTCGGGCGGACTTCTTGGATCAGCGCTGCGGCCGCCCTTTCTGGCGCGCGGAGCGCGGCCTGGTGGGCCCGGCGCCGATCCAAGAGATCCGCTCGGGCCTCTGCGAATTCCTGTTTGCACAGCTGTTTGTCCCTCGAGCGATCCCACCGTCGATGTGGCCATGGTGACCGTCCTCAAGATCATCATCACGGAGACGGACGGCGGCACGGTCGAGGAGCTCCCGGTGTTCTCGCCGGACCGCCCGTGCTACCTCGCCGACCTGCGGCAGGCGGCCGTGCCGAGCGGGCAGTCGGGGGCGCACATGGTGCTCTCGGGTCCCCAGCGCGCAGTCACCTGGAACGGGGAAGGCACGAGCATGACCTACCAGAACATGAAGGATGGGAACGATGGGGCCGGTTACACCATTCGAAGAAGAAAGTTCTGCATGAGCATAGGCTTTTGCGGCTCCGCGCGGATCTCTTGGGTCGGTGCTAGGCCCCGTGGTGGCGCTCTCGGCGCCGCCCCTGGCGTGCTCCACGCGCTAGGCAGGGGGGCCCAGCGCCGATTCGAGAAATCCATGCGGAGCTGCGACAGTTCAGGTTTATGCGGTTCTGTATTCTTCTAACCATGAAGGAATGGCCGCCAATTACGAACTTTACAGTCGGGTCGGTGTACGAGTGGAGTGTCGCGTTCAATGGACATCCGTTGCACCTGCACGTGAACCCGTACCAGATCCAGGACATGAGCGGGGAGAATTCCCACGACGGCGGCTACTACCAGGCAGGCGACTGGCACGACACTCTGATGCTCGACATCGACGCGACGATCCGGATGAATGTCGACAGGTTCACAGGTCGGACGGGGCCACGACGAGGAGACATCCGTTCCGCAGCGTTCTGGAACGCTCTCAGAGCGTTCTGGAACGTACTGAGAAGGCCGCGGCGCCCGAGGCATCCTCCAGAGCCGCCAGTCCTCTGAGGTTCGCGACTTACCCTCACCCGGTCTGATCCTCGTCCCTGGCTTCGTCTCAACAGGGAGCATGGTCGTTCACTGCCACATCTCGAAGACCAACAGAAAGCACACACCGAAACGTTCGCAGCTCCGCGCAGCTTTCTCGGATCGGCGCGGGGCCCCCACCCCTTGGCGGCGCGCGGAGGCGCCGCCAGGGGTGCTCCAGCGCCGGTCGAAGAAATCCGCTCCGAGACCAGGATATTCGGGTCAGTGCCTTTCTGTTGTTCCTCGACGCATCCTCTCGCACGAGGACGAGGGGATGATGTCCCTCATCTGCGAGGCGGGGACTTGGCCATGACGATTCTCTGGGGCGCTGACCTTCGGGGGAAGTCGGCGGGGTGTGGTCATGGTCGTGTTCGGGCCCCCAGGGGGGGCGTGTACATCCATGTCCATGGCCTGCCGACACCCCCGACGATGATTCCCCGGTCGGTGCAAGCAAGCAAGAAGCCGTCCACGGCTGTTTTGTGCCAGCAACAGGGCGACAAGGAGATGATTGGGTGCAGCAGTTAGTGCGCTAAGCATGGCAACGGAGGAGGAGGAGGAGGAGGAGGAGGAGGAGGAGGGGGATGACGAGATGCAGCGGTCCGATTGATGACACATCTCATGGCGCCCGGCCCCTATCAGCCGAACATGCGTGTGGCCGACGAAAGTAGCGACCGAACACGTACCCGCATTTGCGACCGAAAACGCAGTGTGACCGACGTTGTGACCAAGATCCAGAGTCGAACCTAAATCGAACCACACACTTCGATCACGCTCGGAGACGTTCCCAACATCTCGGGCGCCAGTTTCGGCCACGTTCGGGCAGATTTTGGGGCACGGCCTCGGCCACTGCGTACACCCCCCTGATAGAGACGCGGCTACCCGAGCGACGGACGAACACCCGGTCGACTGCGCGGGCACTGGCGTGTAAGCTCCCCGCGTAAGGTCGCGCGTAAGTGCCGTCGTTCTCCACGCGGCGTGCCACGCTGGCGCCCTGCTGTCCGGCGTAAGGCCGCTACGCTACGTCATCTCGCGTCTCGTTTCCTGTCGTCGCTCACGCGGCAAATCCCCGCCTCGCGGCATCGGCCTCACGGGCACCGAGGGCGCCGCCAATTCGCAGGACTCGGAGAGCAAAACCGAGGCGCAGAGAAAACTTTCGGAGCTCCGCGCAGATTTTCTCGGATCTGCACTGCGCCCCCCTTGCCTTGGCGCGCGGAGCGCGCCAGTGGCGGCACCAGAGGCGCCGCCAGGGGGCCCCAGCGACGATCGAAGAAATCCGTGCGGAACTCCGACAGTTTATATGCTTTTGAAATTCTATCGAGTAGGGGATCGACTACATAATCGATTTTACCTCAGAATCAATATGTTAGTCAAATGTGCGAAAGTACGTAGACTGGACGCGAGTGTAAAAAATGGTCTACGTATGCTCGACGTGTAAAAGTGGGGTAAGTGAATTCTGTAGTCGATCCCCTACTCAAAATGACTCGTCCTTCGAATCCTTCTGTGGGAGCGTCGTTGCTCTGGCCATCCGCGCTATGCACGCCGGCGGTCGCGGGCTTCTCGGTGGTCGTCTGGGCGCCCGGGCACCCTGCGGGCATATCTTGTCCATGGGGCACGGCTGGGACCTCAGAACCGCTCTGCAGGGACACGGCAAGTTCGTGTCATGTCGACGCCGCCTCGACGCGCTCCCTGCCTCCCAGGCCGCCTCGACGGCGTCCACGCCGTGCCCTTGGGCTGGGCCACGGCCGCGTCCGCCCCCTCCCGAGCGAGCCAGCTGAGCGCCGCGCTCGGATACGGCAGGTTCGTGTCATGTCGACGCGGCTGCGGCCCCAGCTCAGGCGTTCAAGGTTGAACGCCGCCAGCGGCCCAGAATCGGCCAACACGGAACAATTTGGCCATCGAGAAGCCGCCGATCTGTCAAAGGTGAACGATCCACGCGGTGCCAGACGCCAACGCCGAAGTCGCCACGACACAGACCCGTCGCATGTCGTGTCCTTTTTCGAGAACATGCGTAAGCATGAACTGTCGGATCTCCGCGCGGAATTCCAACACTGAATGCATACCTATACGACCACCCTTCGGGTGATGAGGAGGTTCGGGGGGGGGGGGAAACCAACGTCTCACTCGATCGGTCTCACTATCGATCTCAGTATCAATCTCACTATCGGTCTCGCTCGATCGATCTCACTACTGGTATCGACCGATCGATCTCAGTATCGATCTCACTACCAGTAGGGGGGCTCTCCGTTCCACTTCGATCTCACCCCCTCACCTCCGACCTAGTTGTTTCTTTCTCCATCTTGATCCTCTGGGGACGAGCCAACGATTTTATACACCGCCACCCTCCCTCGAAGCCACAAGGGACACTCGTCGGCGGGCGTTTGTGTGTACACGTACACTGTGAAGGCTCTGCGGCCAGTGCCGCCGACCCTGACGGGGCAGCCCGAGGCGTGTGGGAGGCAAGGAATCGAAGGGGGAAGCTTCTCCCAGGGAGGGGTGCTTCTCCACGGGGAACGAGGAGGAGTCGTCGGACGTTTTGCTCGCATCTTTTCGTGGCGTATGACAGCGAATCTGCGCCTTCCTGGGCGGGGTGGGGCTATCGGGCCCCTATCGGCGACGATGGCGACGACGACGGCGACTGCGACGGACGACGACGCACCCGCCGCGCGTCGTTTTTCCCTAATCAGTGCTTACACTGAAGGGGTTCTAGCGGAGGTTGAAAGATTTGGCGAAAGTGTCCCGCCGATTTTGGTGGCAGGCTGGGTTCCAGGTCCCCGGTTCCGGGTTCCCGGGTTCCGGGTTATTGGTTCCTTGCCGATTTCGGTGGGCGGCGGGGTTCCCGGGTTCTGGGTTCTTGGTCGATGTTTTGATCGATCGGTCTCAGCATCGATCTCATTACCCACCTCCCTATCGATCTCGCCATCGATCGATCTCATTATCGATCTCACAAGCGAGCTCACTATAGATCGCGCGATCGATCTCGCAATCGATCTCACTATCGATCTCAATGGGTCGACTTCATTATCGGTCTCACGATCGGTCTTGCAATCGTCCTGACTATCGATTCCACTATCGATCTCACTATCGATCTCACAACCGATCTCACAGCCGATCTCTCTGATTGGGGTTCCTCTCTGGCGTGACTGTTTGTTCTTGGCGCCCCGGGGAGGACGGCGCCGGCTGCTACAGCACCGCGTGGGGCCCGGGGCAGACGCAGATCGCCTCGGGGGCGCCGGGCCTGGCCCGGGTCGGCCTCGGCGCGCTCGCCCTCGCCGCCGCCGCGGCGCTCTGAGCGGGGGGGGGGGCGCGGCCCGCGCAGGGGGGCGGCCCGCAAAGGCGGCGCGCACGCCGAGGCCGGGACCCGCGAGGCGCAGCGGCAGGTTGCGGACTGTGGCGCCTCGGTGCTCAGGTTGCCGATTCGGGCGACTCGGTGCCAAGCGGGCCCGTCCACGATGCCTCCCCGCGCTGGGGGTGCGGGGTGTCTCGGTCGAGACTGGGAGGGGCCAACCCCAGCGGGCCCCCCCCCCCCCTGGCTCCTCCCGCTGATGGTCCTTGGCGGTGGTGGTGCTTTCGCTCCCTGTTCGCAGCAAACGGCGGTCTTGCAGGAAGCCGGTAATTACCCCGACGGCAGGACCCCAAATGATAATTTGACCAACTAATCTAGAAGTGATCTCATCGTCGTCCTTCTGACTACGGAGGCTTCTTCATGTCTGGTACTTGCTGGTCTTTGCCGTCGCTTACGAGCTTGATTGAGGATGGCCGCCTCAGTTTACAAAGGACGCTCGACAAAGGAACAAGGCTCCATCTCGAGACTTTCTCAAGATTCAGATTCCCAGGTGTCACCAATCCTGTGCATTAACAGGCATGGAATCCAGAAGGCCGCCTCATACTCGAACATGGAGGTGGGGATCCCATAAGAAGAGGCTTCCGCTCGAGGCCTCCTCGCCCATTCACTTACATGTGAGCGGCCGAGCCATCCTCTCAATTTGTCCAGGAACGAGGCTCCCGCTCGAGATTGCCTCGGGAGTCAGGCTCCCAGTATCCCGAGGGCCGCCTCAGGTTACCAGCGTGAGGTGAGGACAACATTGGGAGGGGGTGCCGCTCGAGACTTTCTCGCGATTCACCCACACTTGAACGAAGGATTGCAATCCTTGAACGAAGGATTGCAAAAAAACCTTGGGTTGTTTTGCAATCCTGGGTTTGTTTGCAATCCTTGGTTTTTTTGCAATCCTTCTGTTTTTTTGCAATCCTTCGTTCGATTGAGCGCCCGAGACATCCTCTCAGCTTGCTCCGGGGCGAGGCCCCCGCTCCAGACCTCCTCGGGCTTCGGGCTCCCAGTTGTCACCAGTCCTGTGTGTGTACCCGGTTGTCCGCTGGCTGTCCTGGATTCGAATATGGAGGTAGGGGCCCCACAGCGAGGGGGATCCCGCTGGAGATTTCCTCGCGATTCTTCCGCAGGCGACTGAGTGCCCGAGACATCCCTTCAGATTGCTCAGGAACGAGGCTGTCGCTTGAGACATCCTCGGGTTTCAATCTCCCAGGTGTCACCATACCCGTGTCTTTACAAGGTTTTCCGAAAGCCGCCTCGGATTCGAACATGGATGTGGGGACCCCGTATGGAGGGGCTCCCGCTTTCGCGATTCACACGCAGACGAACGATCGCACGAGGCATCTTTTCAGCTTGCTCAGAAACGAGGCTCCTGCTTGAGACTTCCTCAGGCTTTTGGC